TAAAACTTTCCTCTCTCTCTCTCTCCTTTTTTTACGATTTTATTTATTTATTTGAGAGAGCGAGAGAGCAGAGAGAGAGAGAGAGAACACAAGTTGTGGGGAGGGGTAGAGGGAGAAACAGACTCCCCGCTGAGCAGGGCTCGATCCCAGGACCCCGGCATCATGACCTGAGCCGAAGGCAGATGCTTAACCGACTGAGCCACCCAGGCGCCCAAAACTTTCCTCTCTTGTTGTTCTTATTTTTTATATTAAATTAGAGCTGCCAGATAAAACACAGTTTGCCCAGTAAAATTTCAATTTCAGATAATCAATGGAAACTCTTTTTAGTAAAAGTATATGTACTTATACTAAAAATATATACCTTTTAAATGTATGTATTTTATGTGTATATATATATTTATGAAAATATTCATGGTTTATCTGAAATTTGAATTGAATTGGGCATCTGTATATTGATTTGCTAAATTTGGCACCTCCCCAGTAGGGCATGGGGACACCACTTGTGAAACAGGACTTTGGACTTGTAGGCCCCTTAGTTTTCTTTCTTGGAAGATGGTTGAATTTTCTTTTTTTTATTCAATCTCCTTGTTCTGTATGTCTACCTAATATTATAGCATTATATTTTAAATAATCTCTATATCCAGTGTGGGGCTTGAACTCATGACCCGGAGATCAAGAGTTGCATGTTCTACCGAATGAGCCAGTCAGATGTCCTTTTATGGCATTATATTTTTAAAAAATTGACCTGCTTTACATTAACACTAACGGAATATAAAAGTATTTATTTCTCTCTGTTCTCATCAACGTCAGATATCATCCGTCTTTTAAGTTTTGCTAATCTTCAGGACAAAAAGTTTGAGAATTGCCAGGCTAGAACACTTTTTAAGTGAGACAAACTTTTCTTTTGTGATGCCTAGCACCAAGGTTTTGTTTAAAATAATTTTAAATGTTGTTCTACACTGTAAAACTGCACCATGAAATGTCATGACTTATAATAACACATTAGCTGCTTTTTAAATTCCACCAGTGGATTTCCTAGCTTTTTCCAACAAAACTGAGCTTTTCTGTGCATACCCAAGTCAACGCTCAAGAATTTCAATTTAGCTTTAGCAAAAGCAAATATTTATATTCAAAAAGAAAATATTTGAACCCAGAACTCATTCAGATAAAAAATTTAATAAACTGAAGATGTCTTGTGTTTTGATGCCCCTAAAGGCCACATCTAGGTCAGATAACTTATATTGATTTCAACAGTATTCCCATTGGCTTCATGTAACCGTATTTGTAATTACTGCAATAAGGGATTAAAAAAAAAAAAAACTGGTCTCTTTAATCTATGTTTCCACAGAAAGCTGTTGAAAGAACACACATTTCTGCTCAGTTGTTTTTTTCCTTTGCTTAAAAAAATAAAAGTGCCAGGAATCCCGCCCCACCGTGCTGCTGGGTAACAGTCAATCATTTATTATTCCTGGATCAAACATAAGCCATTCATGCCTATGAAAACATGTTGCAATGAATGGGATCTTGGTCTGTACTAAAAACAAAAATGGCTAAAAAGAGACTTCAATTTATTTTCAAATTCTATGGCTAAATTCCTATAATTCCTCACCGGTAAGAACACTGGCAAGCCACTACATTTTACTTAGGATTGGATTTACTTCTTTGGTGTCTGCCCAGAGGTGCTATTGAGAGCTATTTGTGGCTAGTTTTTTAAGAGACCAGATGGGCCTCAAACGGAGTGAATACTGACACTGATGTACAATGCACAAGGAAAGGCTGCAGAGAGAGTCGAATATTTTAATTTCTTTTAAATAACTAAGCACAGCCCATTTTGACTTGAGAGTTTTAATATTTGGCAAACCAAAAAGGTTACTTCTCCAAAATGGCCAAACTTATAGCTGAAACCTTTCCTTTTATTTTGTTATTAAAGCAGGAGTTGTACATCTTATCAAAATTCTTATCTAATCAATTCAATCAACCTCAAAAATACAACCGCCGTCGATCCAGACATACTCAGTGGTCTTCCTTTCCTCAAGCCTCGTCAGCCCTTCATCTAATTAAGCCTCTAGAAACTAATACATCCCCCCAAAGTAATCAATTCCCCCCCCAAAGTGATTGAACCCCTTCTCCCAAGCATTCTTTGTCATCCAGTCAACCACTAACTACGGTCCAGCAATCACCCATGAAACAAATGTCATTCTGGTAGAGACCAATAATATTTCAAAGTTTATACATTCTGATTATTTTCATCTGGGGGATAGACTCCTATATTGTATGGTACCATAGCAATAATTTTGAGAAAGACTGATGACCTGGGACAAAGAACAGTTTTCCTCCGTCTTCCGTCATCTTGTTCCTGTTGATGCATCTTGTGCTTTTTGAAAGCATGGGCCAGGAGACAGGTGCCTGACTTGGAAATACAAGGAATGTGAGATGGGAGGTCAGGAGTCGAAGTAGCCATTGTTCCTAGAGAAAACAATTTATGTGATTTTTACCTTAACAATTACATTAGGATTAGGTCATCCATAATATAAAATGATAATGGTTGCCATTACTCAGAGGAAAAGCAAGGGAGCAGAGGAGGGCCTAACAAGAAGGTGGGCTTGTTCAAAAGCGATTCTCTATACCAGTCTTATCTCAGTTATCCTGGGGAAATAGAGTTAGCTTAGCAGCATCATTATTATTCCCAAGGTATTTTCAGAGCTATCATACTCTTTCCATTGTTGATGATGCTCTAGACACATTTGGGTAAAGTTGGGTGATTTTGGCATCAGAGGAAGGACTGGGACTGTTTGAGCTGGAGGGGAACTATCTAGAGGAACTATCTTCATATACCAGAAGAAAAGAGATTGGGTGCATCTCATGTAGAGGCACTAAACCCAATTAGGAGTGAAGGTAGAACTTATTGGAGGATATAGTTTAGCATAATTTGAGGAGGAATTTGCTAGGGCTGAACAAAAAAGCTAGATTCTGGAAGTATTGAATTCTTTGTCACTGGAGGTGTCCCAGCAAATGCCGGTTGATCGGGGTCAGGGACATTGGAGAGGAACTGCATGCTTGCTGTACATAGGGTTGAAGAAGAAAACTCCTTGTAGCCTCTTCTAACAATAGTATTGCATGGCTCCACTAAGTATCTGAAGTTTGCTTAAATGGCCACTAGATGTCATTTGTGTATTTGCAGTAGCAAGATTAGCCCCTACTGGTGCCAAGTAGAAATCAGGAACAGGACTAACATAAGGATGTGAAATTTTATTAACAAAATATGTATCTTTATGCAGCTCATTTTTTTTAAAGATTTTTTATTTATTTATTAGAGAGAGAGAATGAGAGATGGAAAGCACGAGAGGGAAGAGGGTCAGAGGGAGAAGCAGACTCCCCGCTGAGCAGGAAGCCCGATGTGGGACTCGATCCCGGGACTCCAGGATCATGACCTGAGCCGAAGGCAGTCGCTTAACCAACTGAGCCACCCAGGCGCCCCTATGCAGCTCATTTTTTAAAAAAGATTTTATTTATTTATTTGAGATAGAGAGAGTGAAAGCGCATGAGTGGCGGGGGCAGAGGGAAAGGGAGAAGCAGGCTCTCCACTGAGCAGGGAGCCGGACGCGGGGCTCAGTCCCAGGACCATGGGATCATGACCTGAGCCGAAGGCAGACACTTAACTGACTGGGCCACCCAGGCGCCCCGCAACTCATTTAAAATAAATATAAGAAAATGTAAATATCATTTGAAGCAAAACCTTCCAACTTCCAAAATCTATTCTCAAAATGGACTCACTTTCTAAATTCTCTTTTTAAATAAGTCTGCCATACTCAAAGAATTTCATAGAACTTGCCATAAAAATGCTTCTATTCATCTGCTAACATCTCTGAGTCTCCCATTTACCTTGTGTGTCTATCATTCTATGTAGGGACCATGTCTTACTCTGTTCCACATGGCACACAGCACTGTGCAGCTTTCATGATACGACCACAACTAGTATCTAATAGTTCCATTGTGCTTACCATTTATCAAGTACTTATCTACAATAACTAATTCACGTAAAATCAAGTGGTTAGGTGTAACATATGAAGAAATAGACTGGAAAAGGTTAAGCAACCCACCCAAGGTTATAGGTAAGAAAATGCTTCCCAATTTTTATCCTGCTGAGCTCTGGAGGCTCAGGAAATGGACATCTCTTGGACACCTGCAGTGTACTGTAGCATATTAAAGACTTTGAGAAGTCCTGGAACAAAGAAACGTGTCAAATATTAGCCCCCAAAGTCTTCAAAGTCTTCAAATATATTTAGTCTCTATCTATTTGTCTATCTATTTATCTTTCTTTTGTCCAGAATGTGAGTTATTATCTAACTGAATACTAGCTTTTCTAGTGGCAATTGCTATAAGTGATGAAAATCAAATTCAAACTATACTCCTTCTTGCCGTTAACTTACTAGCAGTGTTTCATAATGTGAAGTGCACTGGGAAAAATAGCCTCAATTTTCTCATAGCTAAAAAGAAATTCAGTGTATCGGAATAGATTCTTCCCACCCAAAAGCTCTCTACGTGGAGAGAGCTTGTCTTTGTCTCTTCTTAGTAATTTAGGCAAACTGAGTCTCATCACAAAAACAAAACAAAAAAACAGTCCAAAATGAAAATTCCCACTTCCTCCTTGTTCCTGTGACTCTCGTGGGGAATCCAAGAGGGATGGCAACAGTGCTGGCAGCGCCCTCTCCCCTCTGTGTACTGACTGTGTAGCTTAGATAGAGTACAGGCCATTCAGTTTGCTCTCGTGGTTCCTCTCTCCTCGGTTTTAGCATGTGCTCAGAATGTCTTTGTGTATTCAGTTAGAGATTTATTGTCTGGTGTCTGTCGAAACTCTCAGATATATGGCTAAAACTCGGTAGATACACTCTGAAAAGATAAACATTCTCTGAAAAAGGACTGAAGAGCAAGAGAGCATTCTGGATAACTAGACTTGTCTTTTGAATGCAGCTATAATGATGGAAAGTCTTTCTCGCGTAGGGTGAGAACCACAGAGGAGGCCTCCATCACTGGGTGAAGCATTTCTGAGCCGTCAAGTTCCTCATAGCAGCCTTTACATCCTTGTTCCTGAGGCTGTAGATGATGGGGTTGAGCATGGGAATCACCACCCCGTAGAAGAGGGGGATGAGCTTGTCTGAAAGGTCTTCTTTGTTGTCCCCCAGGAGATCCTTAGACTTGGGTTTCCTATACATGAAAAGTAAGGTCCCATAGAAGATGACCACCACAGTGAAGTGGGCAGAGCAGGTAGAGAAGGCCTTCTTCCTCCCCTCAGCCGAGGGGATCCTCAGGATGGTAGTAATGATGAAGACATAAGAGATAGAGATGAACAGAACTGGGACCCCCAGGAAGATCACATTGGTCACCCCCATGCTGATCACACTGATGGAGATGTCAGTACAGGCCAACTTCAAGACAGCCAGGATCTCACACGCAAGGTGGTTGATGACGTTGTTCCCACAGAAAGGCAGCTGAATTGTCAAGGATGTGTGTACCACAGAAGCAGTACCACCAATGGCCCAGGAGCTGACAGCCATGGGCATGTAGGCAGCCTTGCTCATGACCACAGGATATCTAAGGGGGTTGCAGATGGCCACATAGCGATCAAATGCCATCATGCCCAGAAGCACACACTCTGTGGCTCCCGTGGCAAAGGAGAGAAACATTTGCACAGCACAGGCTGAGAAGGAGATGGTTTTCCTGGGAGTGAGGAAGCCATCCAGGACTAGAGGGACTGAGGAGGTTGTGTAGCAGATGTCCAGGAAGGAGAGGTTCCCCAGGAAGAAGTACATGGGCGTGTGCAGGCGGGAGTCAAGGAGGGTCACCACGATGAGGAGCCCGTTGCCCAGCAGGATCACCAGGTACATCAGGAGGATGAGCACAAAGAACGTTTTCTCCAGCCTTGGGTGGGCTGAGAGGCCCAGGAGAATGAACTCTGCCACAGGGGAGGACCAATTGGCGTTTTGCATGTGCTATCCCTTCTGTCATCAGCCAAGTACAAAAGCAGCACAGGAAGCTTTCTTGAGAAGAGTCTCAGGCATCTGGTACACCATCACTCCGTGCTACATGATAGGAGAGCATATGTGTATGAGAGATAAATGACTGAAAGAGATAGTAGGTAGGAGTGTGCTTAGCTCTTAGATGAGAGAAGGTCAGGCTGGAAGAGAGCTTACAAATATTGCAGCCAGCTGTTTGAGAGGGGTTTTCTCTCATTGCCCATAAAAGCAACTGAGGCCCAAAGAGGGGAAGTGACCTGTCCGAGTCTTCAGAGCAAGGTGTTGATAGAGATAGAACCTGAGCCCAGCAGAGCTAATCCCAGTCAAGGAGGGCTTTTCCTCTGTTTTATGATGAACATTGGAAAATGCTGTAAATTGTTTCATTTTGATGCAAATGCATTGAAATTTCATTTAATCTGGGCTTTCTTAGATTCTCAGAGAGGGGAATCCCCAAGCTGATCCAATTCTTACAACTACCAAAGTTTCAAGCTCCTTTAAATTTTGATTACATTTGGAAGGAACTTGTTTAAAAGGCTTAATCCACATCCAGACAGAATAAAGCCTAGGTAAAGATTCAACCATATGAGGGATACTTCCTTAGTCTGCCCACCCTCAGCAACACAGACTTGACTGTTGTCAGAATTGGGATCTGCCTACTTTAATACATATTAAAGGCAATATGTGGGGGAGGTTCCCTCATGGGGAAGAACTTTATGAAGTCCACAGAAGGAGTAATTGGAGTGAGTGAACCCACACTATGGGATGACAGCCATGCAGCTTACTGACCAGTTAACTCAATTCTTAATAACCAGGCTGACTATAGTTATCAGATAGCAGGATACATGGCATTAACATCTAATCCCAGCTCATTAGAATATTGGTGAAGTCTTAGCCAGGGTGACTAAGGAATGTTTTTTCTTTGTTCTTTTGTGTTTATACTTTATTCTTGTGTAATATTCTGGCTCTCTGCCTCCATTATTGTGTTCCACACAAGCAGCTAGCTTACGGGAAGACTTGCATGACTTTGTGTAGAGATTTCCAGTCTCTCAGCTACAATTGCCCAGACTCTATGTTCAGAATTCTCATTTGTAATATTTCTATAGCTCTTTTAATTGCAGTGGTCTGTGTCCATCTGTGTATGTGTGTGTGTGCATGTGTGTGTGTTTGTTCATGTATGTGTGTGTAGGAGTGGGTGGAGGATAGAAGATGAGTGAATAATATTAATGAGCATCTATTCTGTGCCTTATTCTTTGAAACACCCCACGGAGAAGATGCTATCATTCATATTTTACTTTTAAGTAAAAATAACCAAATCTCAGAGGAGCCAAAGACTGGTCCTTAAGATTGAATGACAGAGCTGCGGTTGGATCACAAGCTCCAAATCTGAGTTCTTTTCACCAAATAGCAGGCTCACTCTCTTGCACAGATGTTTAAGAGAGTCTGTCTCTCCAATACCAACTCTGTTCTCTGATCTGTCTCATTGTCCAGCATGCCCTTGCTTCAGTCATGGTAGGAGTTTATGTCAGATACGTTGTCAGCCAGAGTAGCTACCCCCCTACGTTGAACCCAGACTTTGTCAGCCTTGGCACCAGTGACATTTGGGGCTGGAGAATTCTTTGTTGTGAGGGGCTGTCCTGTGCATCATAGGATATTTAGCACCATCCCTGACCTCTGCCCACCTGCTGCCAGTCGCACCTGCTCCTTGAGTTATAACCACCAAAAATGTCTCCAGACGTTGTCAAATGTTTCCAGGAGGAGAAGGGGGTACACGTTGTGCCCAGCAGAGAAGCCTTGATCTAAGCCAGGAGAGGTCTCCCCCATTATGCAACCATGGGTTCCATTGTGTTTTCTGTGCAAGGCCATGACCCTTCCCCCGTCCCTCAATTCAGCACACGGGGGTGTTCCCTTCTGCTCAGTGCAGGCCCACTCTGGGTGCTCCACCATGACACTTTGCCCCAACTTATCTCCCATTCCTCCCAGTGGCTCTCCCAGCCCCTCCCTTTTCCCAGAAAAGGCAAAGTAAACATTGCAGTCAGTGTCACAAGCAGGATTCAATAGTGACAAAGATATGCTGTGGTTGGAGAGGCCAAGCAGAGTGGCTTCTGTTAGAGAAGCCATCCTGTCCACTCCCATGAGACAGAGCCATGCACACAGAAGCTTCTTCCCATGAACAGTGTGCTGTGGGCATGAGTGATGCACAAGATTTGACCCATGTGAGAGCTGCAGCTGAGGAAGACCTTAGCACCCGCCATGGCAAAGTTGCTGAATGAAAGCTGGTTCAACTGAAATGAACTGAATGGCTAGGAAGATCTTGGGCACTGAGCCCAGAGGTGTCAGACCTGTCCCTGCCCAGGGACTGCCCAGCACTGTCCTCACCAGGTAGGAGCAGTTGGGTGAAGGTGACAGCCCCCTCCTCTGTGTGTGTGTGTGTGTGTGTTAGAGAGAGAGAGAGAGAGAGAGAGAGGAGATCTGAATGCTTGGTTTCTCATCAAGATATGCCAGCAGGAAATAGTGCTGTGTCAGGCTTTGGAGGAGACTCGGGATGGAAGAAAACATGAACTCTGACAGCTACAGCCCCAGGTGGACCGGAGTCAGCCTGTGGAGCTATGAAAGAAGGGAAATTTTTACCTTTGTGGCTACATGCTGCCAGTGTGAAACCTCAGCTTGTCCCAGGGTTAGGGCCTTGCTTGTGGCCTGATCACTACTTATCCATGGAGCCAACAGGCAGCTGAGAAAAGGAATGTAGTCCAGAGCCCATGCATTGTCATACAGCCTCTCTGGAGAGCAGTTTGCATAGAAAAGGTAAACTTGAAAAACCCATATAACTCAGCAAATCTACCTCTTGGTAAAAGTTCTAAAGGAACAGTGAGAGTGGAGGGCCAGTATCCCTCAAAAAAGGCATTCATCATGGCAGTATTTGTGAATGGATATAGAAAACAAAATAACTGTCTATCAATAAATGCCTAATGGTGCCATTTCATATAATGGAATATTAGACATTAAAGTTACATTTATAATTTTTACACTAGCACATGATTGCACTTCAATGATAAAAGAGAATACAAAATTGTACACACTGTTTTGATCTCAATTAGGTAAACAATATATGTGGATAAAAATGACTGAAAAGAAATTGTAGTAAAATCTATTGGGGAAGGATTCATCTTTGTGCCTCTTCAATATTATCAAATTTTCTTTTTTTTTTTAACTTTTTATTTATTTATTTTGAGAGAAAGCAGGCTTGGGAGTGGAGGTAGTGAAGGGGCACATGGAAAAGGAGAGAACCTCAGGCAGACTCCTCACTGACCTCAGAGCCTGACCAACGCTCCATCTCACAACCCTGAGATCATGACCTCAGCTGATTTCAAGAGGCGGAAGTTTAACCAACGGAGCCACCCAGACACCCCAATATTATCAAATTTTCTAATACAATGGGCAGAAATTACTTTGTATTCAGGGATAAACATTCTCAGTACAGTAACCACCTTCACCCACATTTTGCTTTCCAAAGTTTTAGTTCCTGCCCTGCTCTCACTTCCAACTGTGGTTTGGAGCAGAAGATGGCCTCGCTTGCTTGCTTGCTTGCTT